GGGGGATGACAGGAGGGGGACTCACCTAACACTCTTCTTTGCCCACATCAGAAGGGCCAGGGCTTCCCAGAGACATGACACCATGTGGGGTCTCTGGAGTACAGGGAGGAGGTGCTTACGGGATGTTCTTACACCTGTTGAAACACCTGGATGCTCTAAAATGGCACAGAAAGCTCGTGTTATACTTAACCAGACCCTTCCTGGCTCAGTTATTTTTCTATTTCTTGGTTGAAACACTATATATTAGGGGATGTTAGTATATTAAAGACAAGAGAAAGCATGCTCTAAAATGGCACAGAAAGCTCGTGTTATACTTAACCAGACCCTTCCTGGCTCAGTTACTTTTCTATTTCTTGGTTGAAACACTATATACTAGGGGATGTTAGCATATCAAAGACAAGAGAAAGGATCTCAACTTTTTGGGTGTGGGAACAAAGAGTAAACAAGAAAGGAATATATTCACACCCGTGGGTGCTAACACATCCCTAAGGAGCCCACATTCCCTAGTCTTTGCCCGCAGTAAGCCAACCGACGGTGAAGGTCGGCACAGGCAGGCCTTGGTTCAAGGCCAGGCTTCCAGGGAGGGGTCTCGGCAGGCCTCCTCCTGGGGTGCTGGCTGCCACGATGCTTTTACCGACTCCCTGCCTGTTCCTCAGAAGGGCTGTCTGCTCTCAGCCGTTCACTGTTAAGAGGTCGGTTCCAGTGCCTCTCTCTTTTCTGACCAGTCTGGCCATTTTCTCTCTTTGGCTCTGTCTCTTCTCCCCCTGCCCTGCAGACTGGGATGAGTGTGTGGACAGCTCAGAGCACGACTGCTCCCCAGCCGCCCGCTGCATCAACCTCGAGGGCTCCTACACCTGCCAGTGCCGCACAGCCAGGGACGCCAACCCCTCCCGGGCAGGCCGGGCCTGTCAGGGTGCGTGTCCCTGCCCAGCTCTGGGACAGGCCCCCTCCCTGGGGACCTGGAGGTGGGACAGGGCCAACATCTCCATCAGGCATCGTGCTGAGGACCCACAATAATGTTACAGGCCCACTGATATGTTTTAATTTCATTTAAAATGAGAGGAAAGAAATTAATATAACGATAGTAAATATATTTAACAATGAATCCAGCCTGGATTCTATTCATCTCTATCCCAGTGCAGTTGTAAAATACAGCTTTTCATAAATGTTCTTGTGGAGGGACACGGGGGTCCATGAAGGCCCACAAAAGTCATGATGTGGCCCTGGGAGGGCAGATCCCTCCTCAGGTGGCCTCGAGTCCAAGAGGGTGTGGAAGCCCAGGTGAGCTGGAGAAGGGCCTGATGGGGGCCTTCTGAGCCCCAGTCCTGTCACATTTCTGCCCCCGAGGTTTTGGGGGAGCCAGTTCTGATCGATGGGTCAGGGCTGCCCAGAGTGCTGAGTCGCAAAGCAGGAGGAGGCCCCATGCAGAGTTAAATGCAGCAATTGATTAGCAATGCCTGCCCTGGATGCAGTGTGGGCATAAGAGGCGCTTGGCCACCTGCCTTGTCCCTGGTGAAGGCTTCTCCAGCTGGAAGGGGCCATGGAGAATTACTCCTTGGGGGAAGTAAGCATTCCGTAGACACTGTGTATCCCACTCTGCTTCCCGGCATCCCCACAGCCTGCCTTCTGTTTTTTTCTTACTCACCTACCATGCAGCAAGCTGACGAGGGCAACTGCCTGGAGTCCCACACTGAGCACACATTTGGGGAAAATTGTCCTGTTTTCCCAAAGCCCTGACAGATTAATCTGAGGCCTGTGAGGACCAAGCCCTACATTCAAGTCCCAGTTCTGCAGTCACCTGGGCAGACTCCCCACTCTCAGGGTCTCAGCCTTCTCACTGATCAAGTGCCGGAGCTCGTGTGCCTCCTGAGAATGGGGAGCTTGCAGGCACGGGCCCCACTGAACCTCATACATGCAGACTCAGAAGCCTGTGTCCCACTGGGGTCCCCCAGGGGATGCAGGAGCAGCCTGCTGGACACTGTTATCCTTCAGGAGGGCTCTGCTCAGGGGCGGGATCTGGTGGGCTCTGCTCAGATGTCCCATCTGACAGTGATGTATCTTGGCAGGCAACATGGTGAGTCCCACAGGAGATGTGCTGTCTGCGGTGACAGGGGCGACAGTCCCAGCTCTCAGAACAGAGACCCCCACCTTGTCACCCAGCCCCGGGCATCCATGGAGCTCTCCAGCAGCAGGCCAGGCCTGGTCCCCAGGGCCTCCGCCCAGGAGAGGGGGCAGTGTCATGGTTGGGCACGACAGGAACAGCACAGGGCAAGGTGTGGAGGAGGAGGCACCCAGCACCATCTCAGGCCTAGGGACTGGCCGGGGGACCACCAGCGGGGTGGCCAGCACCACCTTCTCCCCCAGGGCTCCCAGGCCAACCCATGGCTCCCCTCCAGGGGTCACAGACAGCCTGCTGGCCCTCCCTGGACAGTCACCGAGAAACTCCACCACAGAGACACTCTCTCAGCCTGTCCCTGCTGAGGGCCCCATGGGCCACATTGTGTGGCACGCCAGCCTCCCCACGCAGGAAATGTCTCTGAACCCCATGCGGCTGTGGAATGAGGACCCTGGGCCCTCCCACTCCCCGGACCTGCCAATGACCCCCACCTCCACATCTCTGATGACCCCCGCCTGTGGTGAGTATGTTGAATGGTGTGTGTGGGGGGGACGGGGCCCGGATGGGAACCACACGGCCTGGGCGGGCCTCTAGGGCAAAGACACGCAGCTGTCAGTCAGAGCCTGTTGGAAACGCCCAAGTGGGCTTTCTCTCCTTGTGCACTAGGACAGGTCAATGGTCCTGGTTAGGCAGAGGACTTGGCCCCTCGTGCATGTCCAGCCCTCTCCTCCCACCTTCTAAGCCTCCCTGTTTGCAGCAGCTGGGGCAGAAGTCAGCTTTGGAGAAGACTTCGGGGCCCATGTGTCACATTAGGCATGGAGCAATACCCCCACAGTGTTGGGTACCCCAGCAGTCCTGCACCTCCAGAAGCACTGTGCCCCAGCAGTGTTCTGTCACCCCCACAACAACTCTGCATCCCCAAGCCAAGCTGCATCCTCCCAGCCCTGTTGTACCCCCTGGTCCTGCCATACCCTCAACTGTCCTGCACCCTATTTGTCTAGACTTCGGGGCCCATGTGTCACATTAGGCATGGAGCAATACCCCCACAGTGTTGGGTACCCCAGCAGTCCTGCACCTCCAGAAGCACTGTGCCCCAGCAGTGTTCTGTCACCCCCACAACAACTCTGCATCCCCAAGCCAAGCTGCATCCTCCCAGCCCTGTTGTACTCCCTGGTCCTGCCATACCCTCAACTGTCCTGCACCCTATTTGTCTTGCACCCCCAGGTGTTCTGCATGCCTCCCAGCATTTCTGTACCCCCAGCAGTTCTGCACCTTCAGCTGTTCTGCACATACCAGCTGTCCTGCACCCCCAGCTGTTCTCCACGCCTCAGCTGTCCTGCACCCCATCTGTCCTGCACCCCCAAGTATTCTGCATCCCCGCAGAAGTTCTGCACCCCCAGCTGTCCTGCACATGCCAGCTGTCCTGCAGTCCCAGCTGTTCTGCACCCCCAGCTGTACTGTGCCTCCAGGTGTTCTGCACACCTAGCTGTTCTACACTCCCCAGTTGTCCTGCACCCCCGGCAGTTCTGTGCCCGAGCTGTTCTGCACCCCCAGCATTTCTGCATCCCCAGCTGTTCTGCACTCCCAACTGTTCTGTACCCCATAGCCATACTGTGCCTCTAGCAGTTCCACGTTGCATGGAGAGGACATAGCCATCACCAAGCCCCTGAGTGACACCTCAGGAGATTCAGGACAGCTCTATGCAGGAAACGGCCCTGGGCAGTGAGAGCCTCACAGAGGCCATGCTGGCATCCTTGTTGTGAATGGGCAGAACTAACCCAACCCTGAATTTCACCCAAGTTGCACTAATTGCTAGATGTGAGCTCTGTCAGTGCCTTTCCTCTGGTAATTGGCTCACAGTTTCCAAGACCAGACTCTTATGCCCCCACAAGCCAGCACTGTCGAGGGACCTGGGGTCTCCTAGTAGGAATGGCTCTCTAGCCAGAATGTCATTTTGACCCCTTGATCAATCCACCCAGGGGCTAGGGGGTGGACAGTCCCTCTGGGAGTGCCCAGAAGCTTCATTTTGGGAAGTCCAGGGCCCTCAGGGTGTGTCTGAACCATCCTCTGAAACAAAACCAGACCAGAAACCACTCTGTATCATCCCGACAGGTAGGTGCTATCCTAAGACGCCCAGGACCCTACTCGTGTGTGCTGCTGCAGGGAGGGGATATCACAGGACTTACCGAGGCTGGCATCACTGTGAACCTCTCATGTCCCCACTGAGGTGTACTTGATTTTTGGCAGCAGGCAAAAAATCTTTTCCTTTCTCCTCAGAACAGCTTGATTGATTTTAATTCCAGCATTTATATTTCACTTCCCAGTTCCCGTCCCCATTGAGAGGATCACAGTCTCCAATGTGAGTGGTACCGGCTTCCACATGGCGTGGGCGGCGGGTCTCACCCTGCGCCCCACTTTCAAGCTCACCCTGAATTCTGCGCAGGGCCCTGCCATGGGCCTGGAGACCCGGGACACGAGCGTCACGCTGTCTGGGCTGGAGCCTGGCGTCTTGCACCTGGTCGAGATAGTGGCTAAAGTCTGTGGGAAAGAGGGAGCCCGCGCACACCTGAAAGTGAGGACAGGTAATGGGTTTCAGAAACATGTGTTGCCTCTTGTTCCTAAAGAGGGAATGAAAAGGTATGAAAAAGGTTTTTGGTGGTTAAGCTTTAAAAGAGCTGGGTCTGTCTGCAGGCCACTGGGTTTTTTGTTCTCAGTACAGGACTGTCTGGGTCACTTCATGCTTGGCAGGTATGGGGTGGCCAGACATGAGGTGGCTCATTTCACCAAAAGGACTTAAGCAGACCGTGGGCAGAGGCAGCATTGCCTGCAGAGGTTGTATATGCTGGCCTAGCCATGTCCTTGTGAATACATGGCATGGAAAATGTGCATGGTGCTCATCTGCTGAGCTCCATTCCCTCTGCCCCCTTCGTTCTCCAAGGACTTGGCTTTCTGGAAGGACAGCAAGAGACAGGTGGACAGTCAGATGGATGATCTGCCAATAGCCCACCAGAGCTTGGGTCCACAAGGTGAAGGGGTTGTAATAGAATTGACCCATGACACGTGAAACGTGGACTCCAATAAGTTAGAGATGATCCTTACCAATAATTACATATATTTAGATAATATTCCTCTTTTCTCCTCATTAGCACCTTCCATCTGCATATTTTCTTACATGTATACTTTACCCGAATAGCCAAGGGAATGTCTGATGTTGCAGGTTAGTCCTTAAATCCTGGGTAGTTTCCCAAACATGGATAGTGGTGGTCTTCAAGGTGGGGTACACATTCCTTGAGGGATGCTTGAGATGACCTGTTGGGGTGCAGTAAGGAAGGCTAGAACTTTTATCTACATATTTAAGTACTGATTAGCCTTGGACTGGGAAACTAGAGAATAAGACTATGTATGATGATGCTAACCATGCAAGTTCATGGCCAGCTGGAGAAGAGCAAGGTTGGTGTTGGCTGGACAGACAGGCAGGGTGACCCCAGAGGTGGAGAGCTGGAGCTGGGCCTCTCGGGGTCTTCCACTCTGGAAGGGAGGAGCTGCACATGGGGCCCCCTGCCTGAGGATGGGTCCCCTCTGCCCTCCCCCCCATGCACCTGTCCTGCTTCTTTTTTTTTTTTTGTCTTTTGTCTTTTTCCGTGTCCGGCAACGGATCGCAACCC